CCACCAATGCCCAAGATCACGCTTGATTTTCGTAGACAAAAATCAACAAGCAAACAACTGCGGTTGATTTTGCAAGCTGTGATATCGCAGCTCGGAATATCAAGCTAACAAAACTCATCAGCTGCAAATCTCAACAAACTGTGGTGAGATTGAGCTTCATGATTTATGCTCTACACCCGAACGCAACCGTAACTTCCATAACGGCTAGCAGCAGTCACTTCGTGTTTGCTAGATAGCAAACTAAACTTTCTCTTTCTAAGAAAACGATGTGCAACGGAATCATTTTTGTGTCGAGTCAACTCTCAGCTTGATTTTTGCACATTGAGAATAGTCTCGCAATATCAAAGGAGCTTGTAAAATCAATATCATGCATGATATTTTGTTCCAATATCACGCGTGATATTGAGAGCGTATGAGAGTGGAAAAATATCACTTGATTGATGGTTTTGCCAACACTGACTTCAAGCATCTTCGTTTCAGCACTTCTTAGCACCAACAATGCTTAATGAACTTCCTGGAATTGTTTTTGATCTTCATTTAATTTTTTTTTTTTTTTTTTTTTTTCTTTATTTTAGAGATTTTTAGCCTGAGGCTAGTTCATCTCTTATCTTCATTTAATGTCAGGGAACATTCCAGATGTTTCTGAAAATTCGTAGAAAAACATGCAGTTTTTTTTTAGGAAGTTCGGTGAAGTTCTTTGATTTCTGAGACCTATGTAGAATTAGGAAACGTTGGAAAAAAATTACTTGGAAGAAGTTTCAGAAACTTCTTAAAAATTGAGAAAATTTTCTAGAACTTAAGGGAACGTTGTAGAAGATAAAGGGATATTTTCTTAGATAATCGTCCCCCTGCTGACTAGTGGATCAGGAAATAATTAAAAGATCTCCAGAGAGTCGGAGCTTTCAGCAAAGTCCTTTGGATATTTTTCAAGACTTCCGGCTGATCATATTAAATATTCTAAAAACCATAATCTATGAATTCTAATGTTGCCTCTCAGATATTCTTCCAAAATAGTACGTTGATTAGGAAGTTTGCAAAAGATCTCCAGCTTATCGATTTCAGTAAAGTCCTGTAGATATTTTTTTTCAAGACATTATTTGCATTATTTATAATCAACATTAAGAAGGAGCATTTGAAGAAAACATTTCATTGCTACAGCAAAAATCTTTGCTTGCCTTCGGAAGTCTTCCTGAATTTCAACATTTCTTCAAAAATCCTCACAAAACATGAAATGGTTGGCGTTCAGTCAGAGGGGACTAAGCAGCAAAATTTAAAAAATAATAATAATAGCATTGGATCAAGAATTTCCTCAGCTATATTTCACTTTTGTTTAAATAAGAAGCAATACAATCTTCAAATTATTTTGGTTCGAAATTTAAGAAAAAAATCATTAAGTCCAGTCTGAATAAACAGCAACGAATTGTCTTAAAATAAATTTCTTCACAGAATTGCTTAAAATTTCCTAATAAAAATGAAGACATATCTTCGAATCTAGCATCGCTGGGACAGAGAAGAGTGTAAATCTGGTAAATCTCAACCTTCAGCTAGTGTAAAAAAAACTACAGTGAATGATGCAATTTGCGACTATGCAGGGTCACAGTCTGCCATTGCTGAGCGTGTAAAGCTAAATACTGATACCCACGAGAGCATCGTGACCTCTAATAAAGTAGGGCTTAGATCTAATTTTGGGCCTACTAAGCACAACCGTCCTTTCCCTCTATTTTTCTAGTGGATTTTTTTTAACAAAATGAAATGTTTCCACTGCTAAATGACTTCTAAATTTATTTACCTTTACGTACGTACCGTAAGATTTACTAAAGAGAAACAAATTTTTGAGATATTGTTAAAAATCTAACACTGCTTCTTGACCTAAAACTCGGCCTACGGCATCTAAATTAGTCCTAATGGACTGAAACGCCATTGAAACGCAATTGAATTCACTTTGGCCTATCGGATGAAGATAAAACTTTCATATCACGCGTTCTCATTAGCTTTGGAACTAAAGTATCGTACCAAACGCATAATTGACTTGTTAACTCTGAAGCAATGGATTTACTTGATGTTTTCTGCTCGATTGGCCCAAAACAGGCGATTTGGCCAAAGTATTGATCTACCCTTTATATCTATTGAATCAATAATGAATCGTTAAATCGTCACCTTTCAGCATCCATTGTCATGCACATCACCGCTCACCAATATATTGAACATACACCACAACTTACTCGTAACAGTTCCACCCATACACAAGTACAGGTACATGCTGCGCTACAGGGCTGTATCAATCTTAATGTAAATACACCACCGACAAACCGACATGAAACTTAAACTTAACTCTTGATCGAGAATCCATAACGGCCAATTCAAATGTGCAGCGATCCCTTCTGTCAAAACCATAGAAATGATTTATCTAGATAAAAATATTTTTTCCGAAATTAGACACGAACCAACTCATACATTTTGTTCACGTGTTCGTGGCTAGGATAAATATTTTCCGCGAACAGTCATCAGGCAGATGTCAGTTTTGTGCTTTGATCAGAAATTTCTTTGTAATTTGTATGATTATTCATGTCGGTTTGTCGGTGAATACACTACCCGAGGACTACTTTATTGCAGAAAAGTAAAAAGGAATTGTTGATACAAAACTCCTCTGGCAATTTGATCGCGGCTGCGATGGAAAGCCGTCATTACAATAGTTCGCAAAATTAACAGTTCTGCTAGCACCATTTCGCTATTATATTTGCACTCCTTTCTACATGTTAAGATAAAGCTTTCCTTCGAAGTTGAACAGGAAAACAACACTCGAAGCAGTTATTGCTGATGCTAATGTTCTAATTAAACGCTACTACACAAGTGCAATGGGAAAGCTATTCAAATTCACGCCGCCAAGCTGCGTGTTCCAATACTGTGTACCCATAATGTAAATACACACCGCTGGAAATTTTATGAGCACCGAGTACCGAATTGGAGATTCTAAATTTCACGCAAAAGCGAGTAAAAATGATGAAGTAAAAAACAAATCATAAAAGCTTACGTAGAGTAATGTTACATTCCGATCAGATCTCATTCCCCTTTCCCACTCAAACGCTAAGCACACCAACACCCAGTGTTCCGTCGTGTCTTTTCCGATTCACTCTCTTTTTGTCTAAAGAAGCATATATATGTATGTATGTATGAATGTATGAATGTATGCATCCCGTATGCATTTCATGTGTGTATCTCCGAAACGTATCATTGCATCACATTTTGTCAGGCTAGTTGTCTTCCCAAAAGCTCCACTTCAATCTGTGTTCACGTCGACGAAAACTGGAAAACTCCTATGATGGTAATATACGTTAAGGGACTTTCCTCTCGGTATGGCTGACAGGCTAGGGTGGTCCTCTTTATCATTTAAATACAAGATGAAATAACTTTCATTTAAACATTTAACGTAAGGGAAGTGGCTCTAATGTTGACCTATGGATCTAAGATTGAGCCCATCGCTAAAAATCTGCAATTTATCAATTTTATCTAGATGAACGCGTCATTGGGGATAGTACTAATGTATATCTTTGATCGCTATTGAAAATTTGGTCGATTGCTGAATTTATATATGGGCCCAAATTAGGGGCATTTAGCCCGACATACATTTTCCCTATGACCTAGAAGTTTGATCTTTTTAAGAGATAATTGGCTCAGGCAGAAGAGCAAACGATTCGTTTAAGTTTTGTGTTCGGATGATAAAGAAGGTTACGCGAAAAAAAAAGATCGTTTCCAGTAATAAAAAACGTTCCGAAGAATCCATGCTTTAGAAACAACCGGCTCATGGATAATTTATTTTCAATGAAAAAATTTGCATTTCCTCCAAAGTGATAGGTGCCACTCCTTCCGAGGGTCCCGCACAACTTGTTCATTATAATTCAGCTAAATTAACAGTCCAGCACCAATATTTAAAATTGGTTAAACTACTTTTGTGTATAGGGGATACGCTCCTATAGTTACGGTACGTTAGAAGCGTTACGTAACGTTACGTAACGTACCGCAACTATAGGAGCGTTTCCCCTACCGCTTTGTCCTACCCAGATTTTTTCCTCTTGTTAAACCGATTCTATATTTTCACTTGTCTCAATGTCGCAGATTGAATGCTCATCTCCTTTCCAACCAAAAAACAAAAAGCATCACCCTCCACTCATTTTTCCCCTATCACCCAATCACTCTATCTCTCGAGACTGGCTTATGTGATATGATTACGTCTTTGAAGTACATACATGTTCGGAGAAAAGTAGCTTAGCATTGATCCCAGTTACGCGGTTGACTGGAGGACCACAGATAGATGACGCTTACATGGCATGGTGGAATCAATCGATATAAATAGATCACATCACTTTTCCTTCTTGTTTGAGTGATTTTTGTTTCCCAAGTACAACTAAAGTTAATAAAATGAATTCAGAATCAGCAATCCGCCCGTAGATTTGTATAATCGCTTCGCTTTTTTTCCTGCAGATATCGAGTATGTTTGTTGCGGTCCTTCGTGAGTTACGGCAGCTGCTAATAGGTTTTTGTCTGTGCCAAGCTTCATGCAAAATCGATTAACAAACATAATTGAATTCTGCCTACACTTTTTAGCTTAACATTTTGCAATTAGTTACAGTGGAAATTGAGTAACAATTTAGAACCGCTTCTAGCTTATCACTCGTGTGCTTTGTGTACAGTCTAAATGAAAAGCGGTACAATTTTTGCGTCGCTTCAAAGCTTAACTGAAATCGCTATTTCGTTCTATATGGTAGACTTTTGCTTTTCTATTTTGTGATCTCACTTTTGGTTACATATTTCCAACTTTTGCTTCATAGAGATAATTTTCCTACTGTTTGATTATTTGTTTTTGTATTTTCCATTTCGTTCCTATCTTCTACCTATATGAAGATTATAGTATGTTATTTTGTTCCTTGCTTTAGACATATTTTCTTACCAATAGTAAGCTACATGGTGGAATTTTTCTAGAACAAGTATTATGAATCTTGCAGACGACGGTCATCATCCTGCTCCCACGTTTACCCCGCCGGAACTTCCGAAACGGGTGCACGTACGTGGCATTTCATCGGGTAAAGACAAATTATATTCCTTCTCATATTACTCTTTCTGTTAACGATACGTATGCAAAGGTTTCCAGCTGCAAAAATGTGAAAAAATAGATGCAAACACAATATTCTTTTGGTTCCGTTAGTCTGATTTCGTTCAGTGTATGTACCATTTTTTTACATGATTTTTTCGTCACCTGATTTATTTACTTCAGTGCAGTACATGTTAAGCAAAAAAGTGGATGTCATCATTTGTCTTACACAAAGTTATCATCAGTTCGAGCAGTTTTGCAAGCTTCTTATCATTGTCAAATAGTGCGTATGGATGCGTCATACTTTCCTCATCAGGTCGACGAATAAGCAAGCACTGATTCTGGTAAAGCAAATCAAATCCCGCAGGGACATTTGAAGCTATTTTTAGCATTGTAACAATCTCGATTAGTCCAAAATCAGCAGTGCTGTCACTTTACCGAAACTCATATTCCCCACTTCTAACGTTGAATCTACATGACAAAAAACGAGACGGCATTTAAATAATCATCAATCATAGCATCATATTAATTACAGACGGTGTTGGATCATAAAGGGTGATACGGTCAAAATTTGGTCAAGGGAAAACGCGTGTAAATCTGTGAAATCGTTTATTTAAAAAATCAAATTAAATTTCTTTGTCAAGTTCAATTAGTATAAAATTCAGGAAAAATATTCAGTTAGGCTTCCGCTTTTCCAAATCCGAATTGCCGGGCCTTACGCTTGACCCTTGCCATCAGATTTTGTACAGCCACCTTGTCCACCTTCTTCGCCGCAGAAAGCCAGTTTGCCTTGAACTGCTGCTCGCCCTTAGCAGTTTTTTTGGTCTTCTTTAGGTTCCGCTTGACAATAGCCCAGTATTTCTCAATTGGGCGGAGCTCTGGCGTGTTGGGAGGGTTCTTGTCCTTGGGAACCACCTGCACGTTGTTGGCGGCGTACCACTCCATGGCCTTTTTACCGTAATGGCAAGATGCCAAATCCGGCCAAAACAGTACGGAACAACCGTGTTTCTTCAGGAAAGGTAGCAGACGTTTATTCAAACACTCTTTCACGTAAATTTCTTGGTTGACAGTCCCGGAAGCTATGAAAATGCTGCTTTTCAAGCCACAGGTACAGATGGCTTGCCAAACCAGATATTTCTTTGCGAACTTTGACAGTTTCATGTGCTTGAAAACATCTGCTACCTTTCCCCTTCCTTTTGCCGTATAAAACTCCTGTCCCGGAAGCTGCTTGTAGTCGGCTTTGACGTAGGTTTCGTCGTCCATTACCACGCAGTCAAACTTCGTCAGCATCGTCGTGTACAGCCTCCGGGATCGCGCTTTGGCCGTCGTATCATCATTGTTTATCATCGCGATTTGGAGTCACTACCTTCTTGTAAGTCGATAGTCCGGCTCGTTTTTTGGCTCGATGCACGGTTGTAGACGATACACCCAGCTTATTTGCGGCATCTCGGAGAGAGAGGTTAGGGTTTCGCTTGAAACTACCGGCAACTCTCTTTGTCGTCTCAGCGGCTTCCGGTTTTCGATTTCCCCCCGATCCAGACTTCCTGGCTGTCGACATACGTTCCCCAAACACTTTAATTACATTTGTAACGGTTGATTTGGCAACTTTTAGCGATTTTGCCAACTTTGCGTGCGAGTAGCTCGGATTTTCGCGATGCGCGAGCAAAATTTTGATACGCTGCTCTTCTTGCTTGGACGGTATTTTGACAACTGAAGAGTGAATTCCAAAATCAAAATAGGAGCAACATTCTACACACACACACACCTTCAAAATGAGGGGTGTTCAGGTTTTTTACATGCAAAATTGAAAGAAATACGTGATATTGACCAAATTTTGACCGTATCACCCTTTAAGGCCTTTAGGCATTGAAAAACAAAATTAAATTCAATTTAAAAACATCCGATATCTCGGGTCACCAAATACCGGGTGGATGAAATACTAGAAACGGTGGTTCCACTACCAATTTTCATGATTATTCAACCAATGTATTATCCTACTCAATTTTGCAACCGTTGCAACCTTTTGAAAATGTGTAGGGGTGTTTGAATTTTCGCTGTATCGCAATGAGCGTGATACAAAACAAATTGAGCTACATATTAAGGTATGAGGTCAAGCTTCCAACGGTTTAATTCAAAATTAACACGATTAACCGTTAACTAACCACGTGTTGCCTCTCTCAGAGAATCTCAACACATGTTGCGAGACAGCGCTGGCAGTGTTGCCAACATAATGGTAAAAAAGGCAACCATTATAATAATTACAATCAAATAGAGATTGGGAAAGCCAAGATCCCACTGACCTCTTCATACATGTTCCGAGTGCCTTCGAGGACATGGTCAGATCTAGTGCTGGGACTCGGATTATCCGGATATTTTGATTTTTAAATTTTATTAAATGTTGACAATTAACAAATTTGCCATTCCACATCAGGCCATATGGGCACCTAGAAACCAACTTTTTGACAAATATTTGGAACAGTAAAAAAGAAAACTGCTAAAGCGAGAACACATTTGAAATTTCACTTTCGTTTATCCGGATAGTTACTATCCGCCTGATAACCATCTCAATGTTTTCTCAATTTATTTTATTTCAATATTGGGCACTAGAAAGCATGATATTCTGTATACTGAATACCAATTCATTGATATTCCATTTGTCTGAAAGTCATTTTATTGAAGAAAAAAAACTGAAGTATCCGGATAGTTGAAGTCCCAGCTCTAGTCGGAACCTTATTAGAGCCAACACTAATCATACGACCTATCAAACCATATGAGACTTCGAAAGAAGATCATTTTTAATCATTTTTAGTCTCCAATGCAAAATGGTCACACACGCACATATTCTTGGTGTACCCCAAGAAGTGACAAGAATCTGATAACAAGATGATTAGTGGTCATATTTAGTGTTCAGCATTACATTGACAACAACCTTAAATGTAACGGGTGCTTCCGTAGAAGTCACCCGATGATATTATATAATTCATATCAATATTCAATATCAACCTGATAATATTATACACACCGAATATTCAAAAATATGATATTGAGTACCCAGAACTACATTGACCATTATCGGACTGATGATTTCTTGGCTCACATTAGAACAAAATCTACTTGAGCCACGATACTATCATTAAATTTCGAAAATACAAAAAGAAGATCATTAGTGACCGAACCTTATTGGGTGTGAAGAATTTAGGGTACATGTCGCTAACTTGGGTCTAATAAGTAGGTATCGATTGTGGTTTTTATAATATCTCAACTAATCTTTGACCAGCGGAAATTCCAAGGTCAACATAAGCTTATCACAGCGATCACAGAATAGCAAGGAAATGGCACCGCAAGGAGCACCAGGAAACGACTTCATCACAGAAAGTACTCGCGAACTTCTTGGCAAAAAGCTGACACACATTCGAGGGCTCGGAAGCACCTTCGCCATTGAAAATCATGGCCGAAGGGAGTCCGGACTCCTTCCTTTGTTCTTTCACGTACCTCCAAAATGACTTCTTGTTTCCAGCATTTTACGAGCGCTTATGGCCGCCACAATCTGGCTGAGTTTTTGGTAAGGAACATATGATTTGACGTTTGGGTTGTGTCGTTTGACGTTTAAACGTTCAAATTTGATCGTTTATACGTCAAACGACACAAGCTAAACTTCAAATCTTATGATCCCTACCAGAAACTCAGCCAGATTTTGGCAGACATAAGCGATCGTAAAATACTGGATTAAAAATCTGGGTTAAACAACATAGTAAACAAAATTTTAATTACGCGGTCCATTCTACTATGTACATTTCAATACGCATAATAGAAATGACAGCATAATACAATAAACAGTTTGTAAAAAGTATTTGCTATAAAACTGTAACTACAACTATTGTTATGCAAAGCATGTTATATTTTTAGCTAAACAATGTAGGTGCATCGCGTTTAATTTAACATCTCATATGGTACCGTTTCAGTGAAGGAAAGAATATCTTTCTAACTCCAACAAGCCAGGTTTCGAGCTAGGGAGGGGCGAAAAAAAATTGCTATGGAAAATTTGGCCGAATGCCATTACACCGAACGCCATTTCACCGAAAGCCTTTGTGTTGCTGAGTTTAGGTGGAGTAGTTGCCCTCCCCTGCCTCCCTCTGGCTACGCCTATGCCAACAAGTATGCTGGCAACCATGCGCATTAGACTGATGCAAAATTTAAAATTTCCGCTCTACAGTGCTCAAACGGTTCCAAATTGGGCCCTGGTTAGCCTCCCAAAATTTGAACTCATTTAGTGAGAAACTTACTTGGCACAAACCATTTGAAGTTTATATGGGAATTACTATGGAGAAACCATAATTTCGGTTCATATCTTTCTCAAAATTCACCAGTTTACTCTACTTTATAAAATGATAGCTGAGCTTGTTGAAAATTTTCCCAGCTACAACTTTGTTCAGGACCACTTTTCGGTCAAATGTAAGGAACAAAAATTATTAATGATTCAAGTCACTGATGTCTTATGATTATGCTCAATCAACTGTTTAGCAGGCAACATTGATGTTTATGGCGCGTAGAATAGAGGACAAAAATCATGGCTACTTATGTCACACTGCAGAATACAGTGTTGCCCACAATACAGTTGCTGAATCTTGCCATAAGATTATCAATCTCTTAAACAATTAATAACTATTTAATTTTACGTTTAGCTGAAAAACCATTTTCTGCAAAGTTGTAGCTGATAAAAATTCCCATAAGAATAGCAATAGAATTTGTTAACAGTACAAGGCTAGAGGACAATGAACAAAAAGTTTTGTTTTCCCATAGTAATTTCCATATAAACTTCAAATGGTTTGTGCCAAGTCAGTTTCTTATCAAATGAGTTTAAACTTTCGAAGGCTAATCAGGAGCTGATTTGAAACCGTTTGAACACTGTGGAGCGAAAATTTCAAATTTTGCATCAGTCTAATGCGCATCAAAAAACATTCTCTTGTTGCCCCATAGAAATGTATTGCCTAC